AGCCTTAGGAGCTGGGCTCTCTGCCCAGGCAAGGTTAGCAACTGAGACCTCAGCTCAATGCAAGTAAGGGAGCTAGGACAGTCTCAGCAGAAGTCTCGTCAACACACTGAACTTGCATGGGGACCAGAGTATCTCCATTAGCCAGCCTCTCCTAACAGCCAGAAACAAGTAGACCCATCCTTGTGGTGGCTGGTAAAGTTTTCTGGTACATTTCTCCTTTTGAGAGGAGTGTTTCTGTCTATTTCACTCTTTCTGAGTGCAATTTCAACACTCATTTTAAATTTCCTTTTTGCCGTCTATTCCCTCTACAAGGAAAGCTAGGTCTATTAAAGTTTGTCATCAAAGTGTCTTCCTGCAGGACAAGTGATGCTTGCAGGAAGGTGTGAATGCGAGTGTTGATAGGCATGTTGGGCTTAATAGAGCTGTTTCCTTTAAATTACCTATTTCATTTGTTTTATTGGCTGTTGAAGTTGGCTTTGTGCCTGCTGACTCATTTTCAGCAATGTGTGAGATACGCCGCTATTTACTACCTCTGTTTGGTTCTTTCAACTTCCCTGAGTCTACGATTTCTTTGTAACCTTGGATACCTTGCCAGCTCCTTACTGCCCATAACCTTTCTACCCAATACTTGGTAAGAAAGGTACTCCTGATAGGTTGTAGCTAATGATGTTGGTTCTTCCGAAAAGTATTTATTGAGTATCAATTTCTGTGTATGTATAATGATAATTGTGATTAATAAAAGTCAAACTCATTAAGAAAAAAAAGATGATGTAGGTCATTTCCTGCCCCCCAAGAATTTATGAAGTCAAGGATGCACCGTTTCCTGAGGCCCTGCCAACTTCCCGTATTTTCCATGGGAGTGTAAGATGCCACACAGAAGATGAAGAGACTGCCATGGCTTTGACCTGGGAAATAGTTATGTTTCTTGGCCAGATGCCCTGTAGACCCTTCACTCCAGGCAGTAGTGGGCCGAAGTCTCAGGCAGGGCTTTCCAAATTTACAAATCTGGCTACTCGCCCTTCCCTGGAATGCCTGAGAGCTGCCCCACCCCCTAGTGTGCCCCTACCAATGTGCCTTGCAGAAATCCCTTCTCTCTGTTGGCTGAAAGGCACACTGCATTCCTGAACAAGAATGAATATACTTTCCAAAGAGAGGACTCATAAAATAAATGGAAGACCAGGCCTACTACCCAGGAAAGGGGGACAACAGGAATGAGCCCTGTCTGGGGAGGAATGACTTGAGTTTGAGGAGTGTGGCCCAGGTACCTCATGTATATATCCTGTAGAATTTTCCTGGTGTCAAAATATGAAAACTTCTGAGTCACGGGAAGCTGAATCACGATGGCAATATTCTGAACCATCAAGAAGCTGTTCTTAAGCATTATGTGGGTTTCAGATTCCTTTGAGATACTTAACCTAGAATGAAAATATGTAGAGACACAAAATTTTGCAGATAACCCTAAGGAGCTCATAGGTCACCCCTCTCCTACATGAAGATCTCTGCCTTCTCTGATGATCCAGGACAAAGGCCAGAATGCTTTAGGTTAATTTGCGTTAAAGATTTTTTTTTCCTTCTGGAGCAAAATACAAGCCCTATTGTAACGTTGTTCTGCAACAAAGACTGCAGCATGAGCCCACTCAGCAGTCTCAGCAGACAATTTTTAATTCGGTCTTTGTGAACTGATTCTAAATGTAAAACAGTGTTCAGATACTGTAGTCAGTCATTTGCTTTTTCATGATCCTAATGTCTTTCGGTTGTGAAAATAAAACAGTCCTGTTAATACAAACTTACACACTGAAAAAGGGTTAGAGTTGGATAGAGGTGCTCAGGGGGAAACGGGAGATGGTAACAGACTATAAAGCACGCTCTGAAAAATGAGGCATTTTTATTTAGTTCCTTCCTTATTTGACAGGTAAAACCTTTGCAGTTTTAGAGAATTCGGATAGAATAAGGCCGTGCTTCTTTAGTTAAAAATGAAAATGAAGATCCATATAGTCCATACAGTCCTTTGGTTCACTGTTCATGCGTTTTCAAGTGTAGTGGGCTGGAGCCGATGATGCAGAAATGTTTTGAGGGGCTGCTCTGTTCCAGGCCGTGTGTGAGGACCTGTGCACATGGGGCTTCCAACCCTCACTTTCCTCAGTTGTGCATGTTATACTGATCCATTCCCTCCAGCTCTGAGGAATGGAGACACCAAAAAACAACTCCAACCCTTGGCTTTGTTGTTCATTCCGTTGTTTTTAAGTTGTCTATCATCCATTCACTTTTTCATGCAGAGAACTTTTGTGGTTTATCTGAATCTGTAGTCCTCTGTAGTCATTATCATTTGCTTTCCTGTATTCCAGGAACTAGAAATAGAGTAGGTGTTTGGTACCAATTACTCTATCGAGATAAAGCATTCCTAGTATTTTTCAAAACTAGATGATCTCAAGTTAAACAATTTCTTACTTTGCTAGGTTGCAAATCCTTGCCATGGCCTGCAAGTGCCTGTGTGGCCCGGCCTGGCACTCTCGGACTTTGTCTGCTCCTGTTGTCCCTTTGTCCGCCCCAGTCACACTTGCTGCTTTCTGGATCCCCTTAACAGGGCACACGTTTGCCCGCCTTAGAACCTTGGTGTCTTTTCCCTGGATTCTTTGCTTGGACAATTTCTTCTCATCATTTAATTTACCTGTTCAAATGTCACCCAGCAGAGACATACTGAGCTCACTCTACATGTAAAATAGTTCCTTTTAGTCGCTAACATGTCTCCTCATTGTGTTTCCTTTGTAGAATGTGTGGCTGTCTGAAATTATATATATTTCTGTGTATTTCCTATCTTCTCCCCATAAAATGCAAACTTCATGAGAACAAAGACTTCCTGGGGACCCAGTCATACACATGTCTGTTATCTATGAGGTGTCAATAATGGCATGCTGGGTGCGTGGGCTTCTGTCTCCCACTGAGATTAAATGGGGGAAAACCAGAAGCTCTGATTTGTGATCTAATAGCTAATAAGTTCAAGTGCTTTACATGCATTAACTAATTTAAGTCCTACAACCCTATGAGGTAGGTATTATTATTATGTCCAGTCTATAGATGCAGAAATTGTGGTGCCAGGAGATTAAGGAATTTTCACGAGGCCACACAGAGAGCAGGCTTGGAAGCAGGTCTCCGAGCTGGTGTGCTTTACTACCTAATAGACAGCACTCGATAAAGAAGGGGTATCCATTGCTTGGCCACAGATTCATAAGGAACACAGAACACAACAACTCAGGGAAATGAATAGGAGAAGCAGAAGTTGTATCAGGATAACTCTTGTCTGTAAGATATAAAACAGTTTTCTAAATGTCTGTATCTTCGGAAAGAGCATAACAACAAGATTTAGAAATCTGATAACTGTGAAAGGTTGATTTTAGTTTCTAAAATGAACCAGGGTAGAATTATGTATATATTTATCTGTCACTAGGTCCAACTCTCTACTGAGCTGAAAGTCTGAAGTTTAGCACTACTGTTTTGTGAAACTTACCAGGTTTTTTCCCTGAGTACTTCCTTAGTGACTTGCAATGAATGAAATGACAATGTGGCTATATTTTGTCTAATAATCATTTCCATGTCCATGAGTATGCATTTTTAGCCACACAAGCAAAATCAATATACTTACAACTGAAGAGGGGGAGAAAACTCTAGAACTCATGCATCATTACACTGTTTTCAAACAAAATACCCATGTGAAGGGTTATGCTTGTATATGTGGAGATCATGGTTTTTCTTTGAAAAACTCCCTGAACCCACAGAAACCAGATGATTCGGCAGGAAGAAAGTGAGTTCAGCCAATATTCTTTTTTAAAAGATTGTATTTATTTATTTTTAGAGAGAGGGAAAGGGAAGGAGAAAGAGAGGGAGAGAAACATCAGTGTGTGGTTGCCTCTCGCACACCCCCTACTGGGGACCTAGCCTGCAACCCAGGCATGTGCCCTAGACTGGGAATCACACCAGCAACCCTTTGATTCACAGGCCAGCACTCAATCCACTGAGCCACACCAGCCAGGGTGCATTCAGCCAATATTATTGAGCTCTAACATTCCAGCATTTTCATAGAACTGGTGTTACAAGTGCTCTTGCATGCACAATCCTCTGTGATCCTACCCGAGCCTGTGTTTGATGTTCACGATCCCCCAAGCATGTGGGCAGGGCAGGGCAGGGAAGTGTTATTAAGCCACTTTACAGATGTGGAAATTGAGGCTAATGGATTTAAAGAGCTTGCCCGAGGTCAGGTGGCTAATAAATAGCAGAGCCAGCACCTGAACCACAGTCTTTGGATTCCAAGTTACATGTGTTTCCTGTTGCTCCCACCTCCCCCTGGTTGCAGAGAGCCTGTCAGTGGTGCTGTTCTAGTTTCCTTGAGCATCAGGCCTGGAGGTCGCCTTACTGTCAGGTGTGCTTCTAGAGGGGAGAACTTGTGCAGCTTAAGAAATAATATACTTTGCTCAGGGCTTTCAGCAGGTCTTTATTTCTCAAACTCATTGTCCTTTATCCACTGTCCTTCCTATTGCTGCTCCAACTTTTATTGTTTCCTCTAGGTTTTGAAAGAGCTGCAAAATTTATCGAACATCAGTGTCTATTCAAGGAATGGAACTGACAGATAGATGGTTCAGTAACTTCAGCTGAACAAGCCTCGGAACCACGGTTGTAAAGAGATGAGGTGATTCAGCAGGAAGTGGGCCATTCTGGGGCCAGTGATGGGCTGGGGCACAGCCAGGCCCATGCTGGCTGCTTGTGCTCCTGGAGCCCAAAAGGCCACTGGGTGTTGTGCTAAAACCCAGCTGGCTAGTGCAGAGGCCTGGTCAGTAGAAGGCAGTAATTATTTAACTTTCATCTGATCAGAAAGAATGCAGTTTGCCCTACAGAAAAGTAGATGGTCGAATATATTTGAATAATCAAGCTTTCCAAAGAGAAACAAAACATATTCCTACTGACATGTAAAATTCAAATAACTCAACCAGTCTCTCTTTTTATCATAGATACAGGACATTCACACTTTGCCACCCCTGGGTCAGAATGCTGCCCCTCGGTCACGCTCTGGCTGTAGCAGTTGTCCAGATCTTTATCTTCTCGGAAAACCGAGCTTTGGCCAAGAACATCAACTTCTATAACGTGAGGCCTCCTCTTGACCGTAAGTAGTGGGCACCATCGTGTAGTTCGTGACTGTGGGGTCGGAGCGAGCATTTGAAGTCCCTGTTTCCGCGGTAGTAACTTTGCCTTTTCTAGAACATTTAGTTTATACCTAGAATAAGACAGAAAGTCTTCACTACTTCTGAAATTCTCTCCGTTTCTTTGAAATGATTTGGCTTCCTGCTGAAGTCTCAAAAGGGTTCTTGTTTAAAACAGTCTTTTGAACACTATCCCTAAGAATGGCTTAGCAGAGAAATTCAGCATTCTTTGCTTATCCCTTCATTGGAGAAGGATATTGGCTGTAGGAAGTTTCTGCATCAATGATATATTCTTTCAATGGCCATTAACAATTTTGAAAATAGACTAGTATGTATAAAATTTGGAAGAAAATACACCTGGATGTTCATTAGTATTGTTCACAGTTAGGAAAGGCTGTAAAAACTCAACTTTCCCCCTACTAATATAAAAATAAATAGTGTATATTATCTACAGGATAATATATTTATATATTTCATATACATATATGTGTATATATGTGCTTGTATACACATATCATCTCCCCTGCTTTCTCTCTGTTCAGATAAGTAAAATTTGAGGTTGGTTTAGATAAAGATTTTTCGTAGAAGTGTGCATGCCTGTGGTCTCTACCCCTGGAAGAGTATCAGAGGTACAATAAATGGTGTCCACAAAGTAAGTGTGCCTTTAAAACTACACGTTCCTGGGTTCCTCCCCGAGACATTTAGTAGTGAGGAGGGTAGGATACAAATTATGTTTTTCTCCCCACCTTTCTTTTAGTAAAGCTCTTCTGATACTATTGGAACACATAGTCTTCCAGTAGTTTGGGGAACCACAGTCTTTATACTACTCTGTCAAGTGACGTCTGTGTCATTATTGTTCTTCATTTTGTACTTATTATTCAGGACATTCAGTGAGTGTGTGTGTGCGCGCACTTGTGCGTATCCACATCTGTGTCACATACACATGCAGACATGTGTGTACCACACATACCTTGAACTATCATGTATTATACATTTCTAAATTGGGGATGATTGTATACTGATAGTAAACACAGACATAGTTTTCATAAAACAAATTATTGACAAATTTCAAACCTTTTAAGATTAATACAATTTTATTATGAGAAAGAACATTTTAAAAGATTGAAAAGGATTTATTTTAATGAAAACATTTTAAAAATAAAAGAGTAAACACAATTAAAACACTAATGGATACAGAGAGTGGACTAGTGGTTGTCAAAGGGGAGGGGTAAGGAGGGGAGGGACGATAGTCAATAGTATTCTAATAACTATACATGATGTCAGATGGGTACTAGGCTTACCAGGGTGATCACTTCATAAGTCATAATAAATGTCTAATCACTATGTTGTACACCTGAAACTAATATAATATATATGTTTCAATGATTAGTATGTCAACAAAAGCTCAAAAATAACTTTTAAATAATCTTTAAAATAGAGAAAAACAGTAAATTTCAAAGATACAGGAAATGTATGGAAGAAAATACCATTTGTTCATAATCCCAAGATTCAGAGTGAGCTCTTCTTTACATCTGGAAATATTTCCTGCCACCAATTTTTTCTGTGTGTGTACATAAACACGAGATGTGCTGAGATCACACCAATTTAATTTTGCAGCAGTTTTTGTCATTATACTATATTTTAAGTGCTTTTTCATGTCTTTGAAAGTATTTTAATGCCTTTGACATTCAAGTTTTTAAAAGCCATATGGCCGGTCTACAGTTTATTTACCAGTTCCCCAACTATTACCCACATCTGTACACACCCACACACACACACACAGAGCCGCCAGCAGCTGAATGTTAATGCTTCACTCAAACTTTGTGAACGCATTTTCCTTTTTATTTGACTAATGACCTTACTAAATCAAAAAGTTGTACCAATTTATACTTTATTTACCCACCAACATTAAGTCTTAGTATTTTTTAGATTAAACCTATTTTTCAATGATGGTTGACATACGATATTACATTGGTTTCAGGTGGACAAAATAGTGACCAGACATTCATGTAAGTTATGAAATGATGCCCCCAGTAAGTCTAGTCCCCACCTGACATCATACATAGTTATTATAATATTACTGTCTATATTCACTGTGCTCTACTTTATATCCCTGTGACTTTTATAATGAGCAATTTGTACTTCTTAACATTTTCACTTTTTTAACCCCAGTATTAGTATTTTAAAAACTGTACTGATTTAATAGGTGAAAATGGATTTCATTAGTTTTTTTTTTTTACCGACCTTATTAACTTTTATGCCTAGGCAACACTGAAATGTACTTGTAATACTTAATTTCATGTCCTCTGAACTTTAACTTCTGGTATTTTGCTCTTGTTTTATGCATCAATATTTGCCCTTCCCTGTATCTACAATCCCGACTGCTTTCTAAGTATCATCCCAACTTGCACTCAGGTTCCTGGGCTGGACTAGGGTTCACCTTGTTCTTTGTTTCATTTTTTTAAAAATGGAAGAATTGAAAGTTTTACACAGGACTTTATACACTAGCCCATAGAAGAATGTCAAACTTATTGTACTTTTTTTGTTTTTTTTTTTTTAATCATTAAAATAACAAGATAAAAGGTAGAGGAAAAGCATAAAGATGAAAATAAAGAAAGGAAAGAATAGTCTAGTTGCTCTCAAACCAGACTGCCAGCAGCTCCTAATTCCTCCCTGGCCTGAGCATAAGGACCCAAGAAATGCTATCATCTTTTATCGAACGTTACATTTCAACTTGAGGTCTGTTGTGGTGATTGACATAAATCAAGTGAGCTTGTTTGATGGAGGTTAAATGCAGTTGTAATGGCAGCACGTTGGATGGAAACCAGCATGATCTGATTTGCCAGGGACTCTGCTAGATATTTTTTTTTGCAACCTCCTGCTTAATCTTCCCCATACCTCTGCAGGTCATGGGGATCTTCATTGTTCCTATTAGTATACGTATAATGTCTTTGAAGTTAAAAATCATACAACTAATTAGTGGGAAGATCAGCATTCAAGTTCAGGTTAACCTGACTCCAGTTCCTCACAGGGACAATACTGTATCACTCAATCCCCACTTAGTTATAAATTATAGTAGAACAATACCATAAATATTTTAAAGTGGCTTGTGGAATGATTTGTTTACTCCATAGTAGGTATTCATAGATGAAATATTTAAAGAAAAAGGAATAAATACATTGCCCCAAAGTTTGGCAGTTAAGTCTAGCTCCCTAGAAACAGAAATTTTAAGGATGATGACTTATAAATTTTGTCTGAGCTAATGAAAGTTACTAATTTGTGCCATACTTGATGTTAAAAATTTTTGTCTTTTCATTGTGCATCTTTTTTTTTAAAGCTACACCATTTCCAAACAGCTTCAAGTGTTTTACCTGTGAAAATGCAGGAGACAATTATAACTGCAATCGATGGGCAGAAGACAAATGGTGTCCACAAAGTAAGTGTGCTGAGTTTGGAAGACTCCTTTGGGATCACACCACATTTAGGTGTCTCTTAACAAACCAACAGGCTGATGCCATTCTCTAGAAACCAGAGATTCCTTTTAAGAGACTGTCCTGACACCAGACTATTGTGAGAATTCTTAGAAACTGATGGCGTAGCCTCAGTGGGTAGTTGTGTGTTTTTTGAGGAAGGATTTATTAAGTAGTATTTACCCAGGAGGAAAAAATAGACTCAGTGTTGACTAAGGCATTCTAAGAACTTCAGAAATACTTGATGATACCTCCAGAAAAGTCATACTTACTGGCCAAAGCAAAGGAAGGGTTTTGTGGGCTTGAGCTGCATTATTGATTGGGAAACTCTTTCATTCATTTGACAGTCATCTTAGTATATTTTTAGTTTGTTCAGTTCACTGATACATCCTTAGTTTAATACAGTGCCTGGCCCATATTTGGTGCTCAGTAAATATTTGTGGATGGAATGAATGGATACTTTGATTAGGTAGTCAGGGAAATCTCTGAAGAATGTACAATTGAAAGAAGTCCTGAAGGACCCAAACAAGCCAGCCACATGGAGATCTATAGGAATAGCATGCTAATAAGCAGGAACAAATGCAAAGGCTACAAGAGGCAAGATTTGTCCTCTTCAGTTAATGGGGAGAAGGCTGGCCAATGAGGCTTAGTGAGAGATGGAGAAAGAGGCTCTTGGAGGTAATGAGTGGGACACACAGGACCTTTTGCTGGTAGTTTGAATTTTATTGTAAATGTGATGGGAAGGCTGTAGAAGGGCTTTAAACTAGGGAATATAAGATACTAGTTGTGTTCTAAAATGTTCCTCTGGCTGCTGTGTAGAGAAAGGATGGTTGGGGACAAGAGTATAAGGGGACATCAAGTAGGATCTTTTATTATCTTCAGGTGGAGAAGACGGTGACTTGGACGAGGCTGGTAGGAGGGGAGGGGGCAAGAAGTTGAATGGTCTAATTTATACAAATGTGGAGGTGAAGCAGACAGGATGTGCTGATGGATGATTTGGAATTGAGAAACTACTACAGCTATATGGAGACCAGGCTATTCAGATTTTAGAAATATTGTGTTTTAGGTTTTCAAGTGGAAAAGGACAAGAAAAACAAACTCTTCCAGAGTTAGAGGTTAATGGTTTTGGTCTACTACTACTTTGAATTTGCTGGAAATTTCTGTATCACACTGTACATAGCAGTGAAAGAGCATGTCCTCTTTCACATAAAGCCAGCGTGTGGAGCCAAGAAGTAGGGCACACTGAAGGAAGACCTTTTACTGGGCTTGAGAATCTCAGGCCATGAGTTAGCACAGATGGTTGTGACATCCACTCAGACAGCACTTTTTGTTATTTCTTTTCAAGAATAACTAATTACCAAAATCTTTTTTCTTGGGTTCTTTTACATTTCTGTACAGCAATTGCCTTAAATTGTGTGTGTGCTTGCCAGTGCACGTGCCTATGTGAGTGTGCACATTTGGGGACTTGTTTCCAAATTTTTACAGAAATTTATCTTAATTATTACAAAGTTTCTGAGGATGGTTGATGCCAGTCTTTACTACCTTATTTCCAAGGGTGGTATTATCCTCAAACTATTTGCTTTAAATTCTCCTGAAGACTGGATGGTTGGGTTGGAACAGCAACAAACTGGGGCATTGATGTCCATCCATCCTCTGTGCCTTAGCTTCATGGAAAATGTGAATTGTACCGAAACAGTTCCTACTAGGTCCATGCGTAACACTCCATTTGTCATATATTAATCAAAGCCATTTTCAATGGGATCGTATATACTGGTATTTCTGGGTTTTAGAATTTCATGTGTTGAAACATGTGAACAAAGGGGTAGCTGCCGCTTTCACCACTGAGAAGGTGTCCATGACGGAAGGGTGAAGACGGTTGGCTCTTCCACTCAGGAAGCCTGTGGGTGGCTGGGATGGCCCTACCTTCCAGCGTGCATATTGGCGCATTATTGGCTGTACACCAGTCAAGCCCCCAAGACACTAACCACCTGGAATTCCAACTGAGGGTGTCATTTCTTACTTTTCAGTTTGTTGTTATTTAGGGAAATGATAGTCAGCTGTTTCTTGGGGCCATCAGGGCTGTGGCTCTTGTTTGTTGTCATCTCAGGGTTCCGTCCCACCTTTTAGTTTTCCTTCCACCGTTTGTTGGTGTCATTAAAAGAAGTTTTCTGTGTAACAGGGTATGACAAGAATGACATTTCTTGTTTTATTTACCCTGGCTTTTATTCCAACTTTCTAGGGCTACTTCAGGACGTGTGACACTTTGTATGAGCACATGAAACCACTAGCTTTCCATTTTCCATTTCCGAGTAAGGCGAAATGCTCTTCCAGAACATTTGGTGGTTCTCTTTCCTTGTGATTCCAGAAGTCAGCTGTCTTGTATAGCATGTTACAGCCCCATGCAGTTTAATATTAAGTATACTGAGAGGCTGAATAGTGCCTGGTTAAGAGCGCAAACCTTGGGAAACTGCCTAGGTTAGAATCCCACCTTCCACCACTTTGTACCTATGTGACTGTGGACAGTGAACAGTGCTTCAGTTTTTCAAAAATCTGTAACACAAGGATATTAATATGACCTATCTCAAGGCTCATTATAAGGACTGAATGAGTGAATACATGCTAGAAGAGTAGCTGGCCGGTGGTGCCCACTCAGTATGTGTTTACTGTTGTTATTATTAGTCAAAGCTTACAACAGCCCTAGCAAAAAGCTAAGGCACTTACTATGATAATTTTACTAAAAAGAAAATGAACCTAAAGCAATCTACATATTCAATGCAATCCCTATCAGAATCCCAATGGCATTTTCACAGAAATAGAACAAAAAATCCTCCGTTTTATATGGAACCACTAAAGACTCTGAATAGCCAAAGTGTTCTGAGGAAAAAGAATAAAGCCAGAGGTATAACACTCTCTGATTTCAAACTGTACTGGAAAGCTATAGCAATCAGGACAGTGTAGTATTGACAAAAAACAGACATACAAACCAATGGAACAGAACTGAGAGCCTAGAAATAAAGCCACACATATGAGGGTTAATGGTTTACAACAAAGGAGACAAAGATATACAATGGAGAAAGGAAAGTCTTTTCAATAAATGATGTTGGGAAAACTGGACAGCCCTGTGCAAAAGAATGAGACTGGACCATGTCTTATAACACACACAACAATTATCTTAAAATGGGTTAAAGACGGGAATGCAAGACATGAAACATTAAAATACATAGAAGAAAAATTAAGCTTGTAGACATTGGTCTCAGTGGCATTTTTGCATATTTGATTCCAAAGGCAAGGAAAACAGAAGCAAAAGTAAGAAATGGGACTCTATCAAATGAAAAAGCTTCTGCACAGCAAAGGAAACCATCAACAAAACAAAAAGACAACAAACCAAGTGGGAGAAGATATTTGCAAATGATACCTCCAACAAGGGTTAATATCCAAAAAAATATAAAGAACTCACACAGCTCAACAACAACAACAACAGAAAACCCAATCTGATTTTAAAATGGGCAGAAGGTCTGAAGAGACACTTTTCCCAATAAAACATACAAATGGCCAGCATATATATGGAACAATACTCAACTTCACTAGCTATTAGGGAAATACAAATCAAAATCACAACGAGATGCCACTGCACACCTGCTGGAATGGCTATTATCTGTAAGACAAATAACAAGTACTGAAAAGGATGTGGAGAAAAAGGAACCCTCATACACTGCTGGTAGGAGTGTAAACTGGTAGAGCCACTATGGAAAACAGTAGGGAGATTCTTCAAAAATTAAGAATGTAACTACCACATCATCTAGTAATTCCTCTTGTGGATATTTATCTGAAGAATATGAAAAAACTAAGTCTTAAAGGTATCTGTACCCCTATGTTCATTAGAGCATTATTTACAATAGCCAACCTATGGAAGCAACCCAGGCATCCACTGATGGATGAATGGATAACGAAGAGTGGTACAAATATTCAATGGAAAACTACCCAGCCATAGGAAAGATGAAATATTGTCATTTGCAACAACATGTATGGATCTTGAGGGTATTGTACTAAGTGAAATGAACCAGATGGAAAAGGACAAAAAACCATGTCATTCATTCATATATGGAATATAAAACCAAAAAGTTACAAATGAACTAACAAAACAAAACAAAGATCAGGTCATAGATCCAACAGCCAGGTGGTTACTAGTGGGAAAGGGGGAGGGCAAATTGGGTACAGGTGTCAAGTACCTGAAAATGGAAGGAAACTAGGCTTTGTTCGTGAGTGTGCAATAGAGTACACAGATATTGAATTCTAATGTTGTGCACCTAAAATTTACATAATGTGATTAACTGATAATACCTCAATAAATTGTTGGAAATAATAGTAAAAATAAATAAAAAGAGAATGACCTCAAAGGATCTAATGTGGCTAGGTCGCTGGTGACAAAGGCAATTTCATGAGCCTAGTATTCTCAACTTCAAATTTTTTCTCCATTCTATGACATTGCTGCTGTAGTTCCTTCTCAATGAACTAAAAGGCATTGTATTGTTTGAGATAACTATGGAAGAGTTACAGAACTAAAGCAGAATGTCCTGGGATATTGAATGAAATCACCTTCTTTAAAGAACCCTAAGTAATAAAATGTGAGTGGTTAAAGCAGTAAGGATAACTTCATGTAGAAAAGTGTTAGCTATGAAGAGAGGGGAGGTGCAGAGAAAGTAATAAGAGTTAATGGAAGAAGAGTCAAGAAATAGAAATACTTTGAATAAGGAAGGTGGTCTTTATGTGTACTTTGAAGCATCTACTTTTCATTCCACATGGCCTATTAACATACAAGAAACAAACGTTGAGTAATGCTACAAAGAATGTTCTGACCTCCTGCATTTTAAATCAACACTTTTTCATTTTCTTTTAGAATTTCAGGACATGTGCCTTGGAGAGAGAAATGAGACAGGCAGAGATACTAATACTTTCACATGAAACAGGCAAACCTGTAGTTTTGCTGAAAAGCTTGTCCAATTTGTTTCTCAGCTTTAGCTGGCACAAAGGACAAGTGCCCATTTTTATCCAGTTTTCTTTTCTTTTTTAAAATCCTCACCCAAGGATATATTTATTGATTTTAGAGAAAAAGGAAGGGCTTGAGAGGGAGAGAGAGATCGAGAGAGAGAGAGAGAGAGAGAGAGAGAGAGAGAGAGAGATTGATGTGAGAGAGAAACATTGATTGGTTGCCTCCTGTGCATGCCCCAACTGGGGACCAAACCTGCAACCTTTTTGTGTACTGGATGATGCTCCAACTAACAGAGGAAACCAGCCAGGACTATATTCATGTGCACAATACACGTGTGCTTCAGAAGCTAATGCCTTTTCAAAAATACCACCTAGAAACTCTTGCGTTCTCTGCTATTGTATTTCTTGCCTAGAAACCTAAGGATCATCCTGAATTTTAGTCATTTCTGACATGATTGTTGAGAGTTTCTCTTTTACAATGCAAAAAATGAAGTTGCCTTTTCTTTTCTTCCTGCCTAGATACACAGTACTGTTTGACAGTCCATCACTTTACCAGTCATGGAAGAAGTACATCAATCACCAAAAAGTGTGCCTCCAGAAGTGAATGTCATTTTGTTGGCTGCCACCACAGCCAAGATTCTGAACATACAGTAAGCAGTGTTTTGCATGTAAAGTTACTGTCCTAAGATTTCTTGCTAGTGATGGTTAGTCATACATCATGGAGAGGCAGGAAGGATAAATAATATGTTGAACATATTTATACAGTGAGGAAAGACTTCTTTATAGTGATGCAGTAGAGACCAAAGAGAAGTTGCAGAGTTTCTGTTCTTCAACAAAAATAATGTTACTAAAAGTGAAATGTAGTTCCCAGACTCCAGGTCTAGACCCTTGACCTTCGGCTTTGGGTGGATTTCCTGCAGTCAGGCCCGGAAGCCTGAGAATAAACCCTCCATGCGGTAATGATGAGTGCTACCAGGCTCTGCTCACCTATTCTGGGTCTGGCCAGGAATCACCAAGAACACTGCGCTGGGCAGCTGGACAGTGGAAGGAGGAAGGTGGCAGCACCTTTTACCAAGGAGACCTTGTCTCGCCCACTACCTCTGCTTAGATGAGGAAGCAAGAATCTGAAAGTTAACCTTGGTTTCATTCAGTGAACTCTAAATACATTTTAGATCTCTAGATCACTCTGATTTTCTCATTCTACCATTCTAAATGAGCATTTTACTCTTTCATATGTCCAGAATCCTGAAATGTTTGAGAAAAAATTACTTGAAAGTGTGTTAATTTGACGAGGTTTCAGGATCTGCTATAGCCCGTATGTACAGAAAATGGAGCTGACACTGGTGGCTTCTAGCTCTGGCTGCACGGAGACGCTCCTGAGAGCTGTTGTGAGCTGTGATGGGTCAGGAGCATCCCAGACCAGCAGAGACAGGACTTCAGGGTGGGGTCCTGGGCATCAGGAACGGTTTTTTTTCTTAAGTTCCCCAAGTATATTCTGATGTGCAGCCTGGATTGAAAACCACTGATAAAGATACATAACAGTCACTACCTCTATCTTACCTTGCCATTCTGGAAGTCTCTATGAATGGCTAGAATTATCAGGTCAAGGCATTTTTACCAGGTATTATGACAGGAAATGGCTTCCCCTGAGAAGTGCTATGTGGGAGCAAGTATTTGTCACCTCTCAGCAGCCATAATTAGCAAGCCACTGCTGTTGTAATGGTAGCAATCAGGTGTCAGCACAGACAATAGGGAGAAAGGAAGTCAATGACCAATCCAAGGTGTTCCTAGCTTTCATTTTTATTTCAGTATTTTCCCTTACAAGCCTTTAGAAGATTCATTGACTCAATCAGACCATCTAATTCAGTTTCCCTTCCTCTTCTTTCCTTTGCTTATGTTTGGGTTGATACAGATAGGTCACAGTTAAAATAGAAAGATTCTCCAGATGGTACTTATTTTCAGGTCAGTAGAGGGAATGCTACCAAAGGGCCTGGGTGACTCATAGACTGGAAAACCAACCTCATTCATTCTGTCTGTCCTCAGACAGAGCTTGAGAAGCCTTTCTCTTTTTTGTTTTTCCCTTCCCTCTTCTTCCTATTCTTCATTCTCCCATTCTCCTCCCCTCTTCACTTTGTAACAGGAGTGCAGGTCTTGCTGTGAAGGAATGATCTGCAATGTAGAACTACCCACCAACCACACTAACGCGGTCTTCGCTGTAATGCACGCTCAGAGAACGTCTGGGAGCAGCGCCCACACACTCTACCTGCCAGCGCTTGCCTGGGTCTTCATGCTTCCATTGATGTGATGCCTTTATTCCCAGGAGGGGCAGATACCAGCCCTCTGAAGCACAAACTGAAAACTGTGTAAACAGTGAACTTTTGAGCAAAGACAAATCTTGCAATTGATGAGGAGTACAGTTGTTTGCTTAGCTAAAATGCTCTTGCATGAGGCCATGGAATTGAGGAAGGGAATGTGGCCCAGACTGAGGGCATAATCTGCTTCCAGGCTTCCTGGTCAAAGAGGCTGCATTATGTCACTTTTGCAGGGAGGATACTGCCAGCATCTACAATGGGCAGGTTGTGGTAGCTGATATTGTCCCTGCCCGATTGGTCCTTTAGCTGAAAGGACTCCTTGACCTCATTGACTCCTTTAGAGGCTGCTGGCTCAGATCCTCTTATTCTGGGATTAGTTCAGAGTGTCTCTAGGAAATCTAAACCTTCCCCTGATGAGAAAGCAATTTCCTTGACAATGTGTAGTCAATGGGAAAGGCAAGTAAAGGAGGAAAAATTCCAGTTGAATTACTATGAAACTCATTTGCTAATTGTGTGGGGGGGAGGGGAATAAAGCTTTTAAATTATACAGTGTAAAATGCATGCGTGTGTGTTTCTTGACTTCCATGAAGATCTCAGAGGAAACACGTCTACTAGTGTCATAAAGGAAGTCACTGAAGAGATGTTTTCCATGCATCCTGGCTGATTGTTTTCTGGCTTAAAGTATAAAATTTCATGCCCAAGTGACTTAGTCTTTATTTTCCCTTTGGGGAAGTACACTTCTTAGGATGCTAAATGCAAAATTAGTGAATTTGGATGGTCAGAAAACTTTCCTGATCAAGATGGATGGTATCTTACCACACGACGTATCCTCAGGAGTAGCAGAGTGAAGTCCGAGAACCTGGCCCACTTGGCCAGCTTCTGTCTGAATGGCAGGGCCACAAAGAGAACCTTTGTAAAAACATCCTAAACTATTTTGTCCCCTCGTTTCCTTTTCTTTCCCTTGTATAACAGTCTCAGAATTTAAAATGACCACCTTCTTTTTATTCCTAGACTCCTGATTTCCTGCCTTACACTTTGGGGTGATCTTTAGACACTCTGCCTTTGTATTGATAGTGATGAGTTAATGGGGTCCTTGTTTTTTGCATTGAGCACCCACCATGAGGACACTGAGTGCTCCACGGAACCCAATAACGGTTCTGTCCTTGCCACGTACACTCACCTACGAGGGGGATTGGCAAATTGTGGCCCATGGGCCAAACATGACTCACTGTTCTTAGTCTGCTAGACTGCTGTAACAAATATACCATTGATTGAGTGGCTGAAACAACAACTTTTAATCCTCACTGTTCTTCATGCTGGGAAGTCCAAGGTCAAGATGCTGGCAGACTGCGGTCTGGTGAGCATCCTCATCCCAGTTTGTAGAATACCATCAGTTTGGAGGCTCACAAGGCAGAGAGCAGGGAGAGAGCTCCATTCCCTTCATTCCCATTCATGAGGGCTCTACATTCACGATATAATTATCTCTCAAAGGTCTCAAATCCAAATACCATCACATGAGGAATTTAGGCTTCAACATATGAATTAGAGTTGCGGGCAGGCAAACATTTAGTCCATAGAAACTACCAAATTTTGTGAATAAAGTTTTATTGGAATACAGCCCTGTCTTTTCATTTACATATTGTCTATGACTCTTTTCATGTGACAGCAGAAGGATGGGTAGATTGGTGCAGCAGAGCACGGATGGCCCACAAAATCTAAAAGACTTATGGCTTTGTCCTTTACAGTAAAAGTGCTGACCTCTGACCTCTGCAATGGTGAACCTTCATTGGGAGGAAGCTGCTGGCTTTGCAGGGGCAGGGTGCTGATGGTGGCTATTCAGCCTGTGCAAGCATTTGCCACTTCACTTATTTTCTTTGTTTTCTGCATCAGTGAATTTTTCTTCTGTTTTGTTTATTCCACTCATTTGATTCAGTCTCTTAGTGATTATGTGCTCTTGTCAGGTTCTGGGCTGTGTGTTTGTTTTTTCTCATGATGCACTGGGAGCCTTTCAACTTAAGACTCTTTAGCTTCTAATAATGCAGGGAGGGAGAGGACATCATTATCTCCCTGTCTCTGGTTGAACCACAGACTCACCTGCAAGCATCAGTTTTGAAGCCTGATGTATATTCATCCCACCTTTCACTCAGCACCTTGAAGTATTTGAGTTTTCATAGTTATGCTTGTTTGAAATTAATTATATATGGCTTCACTTGGAACATTTTAATACCATCTTTGCTGTCTTTTTATTCCTCAGGGTTTCTTTTGACTGTGTAATTGATGAATTGTCTGGTAAAAAAACCATTAGCAGACATTTCTTTCTGATTTTGTTTCTGTTATCTAGATAAACGAATTTTTCTTTGTGTGTGTTTTTTTCTTTTCTAAGGAAACATCTTAATTTTCTCTTCTTCACCCCCACACATCATGTTTGCATGGATTTCACTCCATAAGCATTTTAAACAGGGCTATGCTGAGCAAACGAGGGAACACACAAAGGAAACAGACTCCTGGCAATGACAGCCTGGTAAATAGGGGTGCCAAATTTCCAAATAAAGATGTAGAATGATCCATTAAATCTGAATTTTAGAGAAACAACGCATAATTTTTTAGTATAGGTTTTTTGTGGACTCATAAGTCTGGCTCATCCAAGGCAACATTTTTAAATTTGGGGGATAAATCAGAGTCTTCTGGGTGACTTCAGAACAATAAAATTCCCAGGCCATCCTGGAGATGATGATTGGTAGATCTGGGATGCAGTGCAAGCCTAACCCTAAATTGAATGTTAAATAAAAAAATTTTAAATAATTTTTAAAATAATTAAAAAAAAGATTTTATTTATTTATTTTTAGAGAGGGAAGGGAGGGAGAAAGAGAGGGAGAGAGAGAGAAACATCAATGTGCAGTTGCTGGGGGTCATGGCCTACAACCCAGGCATGTACCCTGACTGGGAATCGAACCTGCGACACTTAAATAAAAAAAAATTTTAAAAAGCTCTCAGCTGGCAGTGATGTCCATCCAGGTGTGTCATTCTTGATGTGAGAGGACTATTCATTCCCCTGAAGCCCACTTCTTGGCCACATAGTTGGAATGCTAATGACTAATAAGTGTGTGTACGGGTCACCTGGGCTACAGCCGTGGTTTTCAAAGTGTGGTCCCCAACCAACAGGATCAGCATTACCTAGAAACTTGTCAGAAATGCAAATTCTCCATTTTGGACATACTGAATCAGAAACTCTGGGGGTTCAGCCAGCATTTTAATAACGCCTCCAGGTACTTCTGATGCACACACAAACTCCAGAACCACTGGACCAGAGAAGTGCTTTCCAAATGCCTTCAGTAAATGGGTCCCTGCTGGCTGTATGAGATCACTCAGGAAGCTTGTACAAAGAGGAAGGTGAAGGAGAAGAAAAGAAAGAAAAGAAAAATAAAATAAAATGGAACTCCAAAAAGTTAGATTTGTTGTGTCTGAGTTGTGTCAGAAAATCTGTATTTTTGACAAACCCCACAACTGATTCTGATACATAGCCACTTTGGGAGCCATTGAACTAGACAATAAGAGGTGAGCATGATGTTGGGGACCAGAAGGCCCAGGCTCCAACACTTGACCTTTGAGTTTTCACGTGAACATTTTCTGCATTATAAGTTGACTCTATGTAGTGTCTCCAATGTAATTTGAAAACTAGAATACAAAAAATACATCTAATCATTAGAGTCCATTACGTGGATGATTTTTTTTTTAGTCCATTGCATAGGGACCTGGCGTGGCCAAGTAAAAGAAGCCTCAGACTAATTTTATCTGCCTCTAGTGAGCAAGAAGTAAAAAGTATTTTGTTGTCAAAATGTCCAGTGGGAACTGGGGAGTGGGTGCTTTTGGGGAGGGGAATGTATAAATTTGTTGTATATAAAGGAGACAAGGGAATTAGCTATGAATATGAGGAGGGTCTGAGGGAATGGCCTGTCAAAGGTCCATTTTGAATAGGCCTGAATGCTAGAAAAAACTTGGAATTCCTGTCCATCAATTATGATCTGAAAAGAAAAAAGAAAAAAATGGTACCAAAAAAAATTTTCCCCCCAGCTATATCTAAACTCTTCTAAACCCAACTCAGTGAAGTTAGCCGTCAGAAATTGCAGGCATTATTTTCCATATAATCTGCATTCTGTCATGTCAGTCACTGTGTAAAACATATTTCATAACAAGAAGAAAGGGGGGGGGGCGGTTTCTGTTTCTCACTAGGAAAGAATTTATGAAGCCCTGCAAAGCGTGAAGGAGCAGTGTGAACCGGCATGGACTTGGAAGGTGAGGTGTGGAATCAGGAAAATACACTTCACGTTTGTGAAATTACTCTTATGCAAAATCTTTGTGACAGGTAGATTGCCATCTTCTAAAACTTTGCTCTGACCTTTGGATTTTGGATGTTTTATTCTTTCCCTGGACCCTGTGATTTGTGGAGGGCTCCACCACGATGCTGGATGTGCCTGGGTGCACACTCTGACGGAAGACAAAGGCTGGTGGCAGATGCCCAAAGGTGAAAGTTGTGGAAACTGGAAAACAAAAGGCTTCCATAATTTGAGTCTGCTTTAGGCGTGGTGCCACTGCTGTGCGCCTGAAACAGTACTCTCACACTGTCCACTTTTCCCTTTGACTTCATAATCCTGTCTATTTCCCCATCCCTTCCTCATTTCCTTGGCTCTGAGCTGTCTTTAGAGTAATCCAGAACAGGAGATAACCAGGACTGGGCTGTGAAAAACAAGACTTTGGCAGCCTGATCCTGAATACGCATTTTTAACAAGTATCCAATCACAACGCTGGTCATTCTGATACTGGTAGTCTTTGGCCATCATTTTAGAAACAATTGTGCAGGCCCTCGGTGTAAGGCTGGAGATGCTTAAACTGAGAGAATCACGATTCCTAAACCTCCGCACATGTCCTTTTCTGGTCTATGAAAATTGGTCCCAGCTAAGGGGCTGGGAGCACCTGGAGGACACGGGCCTGGCAGAGCTGCCGTGTTGGGAATGGTCCTGGGAAGCCTGGGACATGTGGGAACTTTGGGAAACCTGGTCATCAGGGATGGGGTGGGGGCTCTTCCAGGCAAGAAGGATGACCAGGGTTCTGACCATTGACTAAACTCCCTGTGGTCATGGCTGAGTGAGGCAGTAAGAAGCAAAGCTAGGGCAAGGTGAGTGCATCCACAGGGAGGGCAGAACCTAAAAATATTCTTCGAAAGAGAATTAACAACATGGAGCAAACAGTTTTGGAGATATATTCTGATAAAGTTGTTGAGGGTCTAACAGAGAGGGGACCTTTCATAGAGTGCGGTATCTGTCAGGATAGGATGACTTCAGCTGCAAGTGACAGGGAACCCCAATCAAACTGATGTAAATAAGTGTATTGTCTCACATAACTGGAAATTCAGAGGGAGAGTAGGTTCTAGGGTGGACTTAATCCTGTGGGTTTAGCTCCATTCTCCACTGTTCTTTTGAGTCTCACCTCCCCCATGTCCTCTGGTGAGGAGATGGCCACCGCTGTCCTATTCTGCCCACCCAGTGTCCGGGGCAGTAGATAGGGGTGGGGGCATGGTGGAAAGTATTGCTGGACACTCACCAGGAAGAGAAGAAGGTCTCTTTCACCCAGGATCCCAACAAATCACAAGCAAGATGTGGTCACCCTCAGTTTAATACAGCTAAAGAGAGCTCAGTGTCCCCTTAATCACGTGTGGACAGCAGGTAAGTATCTGAACAACACAGGAATTAAAAAGGAGCAAGAAACAGATGTGGGTGGGCAGCCAGAAGCATCTGCTCAGTTTCCCACCATCTGAAGCTGTGCTGGGGCGCAGTCATTAAGGGACCAGAGGAAGGGGTGTCATTGGAGATAATCGAGCTGAGCCCTCCGGAGCTGCACGAACTTGCCCTAACCACACAGCTAGCGGGAAGCAGATGCAGT